GCCCGGCCCGGCCCTTCAGCGGCCGCAGCTGTCGCGTGTGGGGCTGCGTTTGCTGCTGGGGGGAATCTCCGCAGTCATTGTGCTCGCTCTGAGAAAGAAAAATACTGCACAGGATTACACAAACTCCGCTGCGTCTGCGGAGTGTTTTAATTGCACGTTTTAGTATCCTACGGAGCCTTGCTGGAGTCTGTCCCGCTGCATAATTCCCTTAAACCACCTGTCAGCGCAGCTCGATGTCACTTTCCTCAGCTTTTTATAGATGCATAATACAAACCAATTGCCATGTGGCACAACAGCTTACGGTGCAGAAAATTGGGCTGTCTGATACAATTCTGGAAGTCCCATCTAGTTTTCACATCTATTTTTTAAAAGAAAAATCCTGCTCCCATGAAAACAGCTCCAAGTCCTATGGAAACCATGGCTCAGGAAGAGTAAAGAAGTTTTTGACCCGCTCCTTTCAGGGGTGTGCAGTGCCCCTCCTTCAAGGATCAGGGACCTCTGCCGAGGAAAGAGCGGCAGAGCCAGGAGCGTGAAGGTCTGTGAGCTACAACTTAGGGAAAAGAGGGGTGGATGGATGGATGGATGGATGGATGGATGGATGGATGGATGATGGATGGATGGATGATGGATGGATGGATGGATGGATGGATGGATGATGGATGGATGATGGGTGGATGGATGGATGATGGATGGATGGATGATGGATGGATGATGGATGGATGGTTGATGGATGGATGGATGGATGGAGGATGATGGATGGATGGATGATGGATGGGTGATGGATGATGGATGGATGGATGATGATGGATGGATGGGTGATGGATGATGGATGGATGATGGATGGATGGAGGATGATGGATGATGGATGGATGGATGATGGATGGAGGGATGGATGGATGATGGGTGGATGGATGGATGGATGGATGGAGGATGATGGATGATGGATGGATGGATGATGGATGGATTGAGGATGATGGATGATGGATGGATGGATGATGGATGGATGGATGGATGGGTGATGGATAGATGATGGATGATGGATGATGGATGGATGGAGGATGGATGGATGGAGGATGGATGGATGATGGATGGATGATGGATGGATGGTTGATGGATGGATGGATGGATGGATTGTTTGCTCAGCAGACAAACCCAGGAAGTTTGTCTTCTGGACGATTGAACTGCACTAAACTGTGTACAAAACTGAAACAGAAGACACGGCAAATGAAAACATAGGATTTCTAAGAGAGCTTTCTAACTAATTCTCCATCCTCCAATTGATGGATGCAAGCCAACCCTACAACTGTTACACTTGCCTGGCCCTGTCAAGAGCTCTGTCATCGTGATTTGATCCTCAAACAAAACACTCATCTCAAGAGATCTAGAATTGACCTTTTAAGTCCCTGCTGAGGATGGGACAAGGCAGCAGTGTGTGGTGGGTGAATTTAGCCCAGAGCCTGTGGGCATCACAGAACACGGCAGCAAAAGAGCCCCGAGGGACAGCTGTTCAGGATTCACATTGTGCAGGATTCACATTGCTGCTCCTCAAAAATGCACACCTGGAGCTGCACACACCTGTGGGACAGCCCCAAGCCAAGCCAACACTCACAGTGCCCAACAACTGTGAAGGAAACAGAACTTTCTAACATTTGGAAGCAGCCTGAGCAGAGAGGATTTGTCCTGAAAAGTCAATGCACCACTGTTTCTGGGTTGCTCCTGACAAGCACCACGACTGACACCACCAAAGAGGGGGCTGCTGGCAGGACAGCAAATATATTGTTGTTGGTCCTGGGCTGCACAGGATTACACAAACCAGAGAGAGTCACACTGGCATGAAACACAACTGGTGACAGGTAAGAGCTGAGTGGCCCTGTGCCCTGTCCTTGGTGAGACCTGGTGATGTCCTGCTGCAGGATCCTGGGCTGCTGTAGCAAACAGCCAGCCCAGGGAGACAAATGTGGATAAATCAACATCTTCAGTCCCAAGGGGGGACAGTGAAAGATACCAGATCATCCTTTGCTTACAGAAGGTCCCTGGCACAACCAGTGGAGCTCTGGCCAGCACACAGCCCACACAGATGAGCCTGGCATCCAGAGGGATATGACATCCCTGAGGTTACAAGGGGTCTCAGAAATCAGGTGAGCTCAGGTTTCACTGATGTTTTCCTCACTTAGGGGTGTGCAATACCCCATTAATAACACCATTAATACCACTGTGAATTACTGTTAAAACCACAGGGGTGCTGGTCTTTATGCCAGACAGAATTCTGCAAACTATTGTTAAGTTCAACTGTAAATTCTAACTTGTCTCCTGGTGTAATTCCATACATCATGACAGAAAGTATTCCAGCCCAAACAAAAAATCTGATACCAAAGAAATGGCAAAGCAACACTGTGAACCCTTACACCCTGGCAGCACATTCAGAAGGCAATCTCTGTCTGGTTTGTGCAATCATTAGTCTCATATATTAGCTATAGATCAGTTGTATGGTGCACAGCCCCTGTCAACCAGGCAAATACACACATATACATGTGGTTGAGAGAAATTACATTAAAATGGATATTATTGTTCAAAATTAATAAAACCGAAGACATTCTGATAATTCCCATGTGCAATGTCATATTTTCAGTAGTAAAATGTAGAAGTGATAATGTTCTCTGTAGGAAAAATGCAAATTGATTCTCAGCTTGCTGACATTTATGACAGGTAGGGCAGCTTGTACTTTTCTAATTATCCTGAAATGTCTCCCTCTTATTGTAATACACTTTCCTGAAATGTGAGCTGACATTCATCCCTTATGCTGGTCACTTGCAGAGGAATCCTGCAATAAATGGCAGCTGCAGGACAAGAAGAATGGTACCATTAAAACCTCAGCAGGAATGAGCATGAAGGTGACTCAGAAATAGTGTCCAGCACTGCCAGGCAACCCTTCTGAGTGTGGTTTGTTTGGGGAAGAGGAGAGAGACCTGTCTGGGGGATGAGAGGTCATCACTGCTGTTGTGGCACCAAAAATCTGCTTGCAAAGGTGTGGTTGTGGACACTGCAGCCTGTCTGTTGGGAAACTCAATTTGCAGTAATAAGGATGAGGAAACAAAGGCACTGCAGAGAATTATGCCATCTGCAGTGAAGTGATACTTGCTCCAAAATGATTCCCTGTGTTTTGTGGGATATCCTAGAATATTTGAAACACCCAACATCCCACTGTTCTGCACTGCTAAGAGTCTGTCTCACTTGGAATTGGGCTGCTCTGTGCATCTCCAGTCCCCTCAAGGCTGCCTGAAGAGGCAGATCCCTGCCTTGGATCTCCCCAGCCAGTGCCAATAAAACCTACTTCAACACTCTGACATTTTTACCCAGGTAACACTCTCATATGAAACAAATAGATAGTTACTTACTGTCTTCTTAGTACTTTGTGTGGTGTTTTTTGGTGGTTTTGAATTGTACAGTCTGTGTATTTTAAACCCATGAAAAAAAACTCTAAAGGAAGCAAAACTTGCAATTAAGAATGTGGAATGGAGAGGTGCAGAGGGTCATGTTAACTCAGGGTTCATTTTCATTTCTTGTGTATATTGTTCAGCACTCTCAAGTGGCCCTGTATTTAAAAAAATATCCCTAAGAACTTGCAAAAAGGTAATTGAAAAGTAGGTTTTAGGCAGTTTTGACTGTCCTCAATAAGACTGGTGAATGCTGTAGAAGTATTCATAAACATTTCTCATTTTTAGCTCCTTCTGTTCCTACCCCTTTCTTTGCCATCCAGGAGTTTTCATGCTTTTCCTTATTTTTTTCCACAAGCTCAAAATGCCATCTCTTTGGGCCTTATCACTCTCCTTCATTAAAATTCTTCATAAATGTATGTTTTGATCAAACACTTTGGGTGGCAAACATATTTCAAAGGGTGACATACAGAAAAAGAAATGTGCAAACAGGTTCTGATTTTTTGAGAACCTCACTGACCCATCAACCATATGAAAATACCTCAGAGTGTTATTATCCCTCAAACTTGCCCTTTCTCAGGAGTGGACACATTCCCTTTCTATAAGAATTTAATTTCTGTATGGGACACATGCTTTCCTCTAATGTGAAGTCCCTCACAGGTACACAAAAGCATCTGAAAATAGCAGTCCATGTGGACACCAGCTGTGGCACAATTCTAACTCACATCAGACATGATTTATTACTCAGCAGAACCATTTCTTTTGATTCTGTTTTATGGCCATCAGAAATATTTTCACTCAACATACCTCCTTTGTGCACAGCTAACACAATAATACACAGGGGCTGTTAACAGGCACCCAGCTTGGCTCTAAATTCCAAAACACAACATGATAAAAGTCATACATAGAGTTAATTAACCAGACAAAATACTAATTCCATCATAGTGAGGATTGAAAATATGTGACAGAAAACATGGTAAGAACTTCATAATGATCCCTAACATCCAAAAGCCAGGAATTACAAAATTAAAGACAGAAAATTAAACAGATTTTGGAATGTGTGTAAATATCACTGTGTCATAAATAGCTCAACTCTACTCTGTTACTAAACAGGTAAAGGAATCTATGAGGTAAAATCCTTGATTTCCTGGTTAGATTTCTCTTGCCCTAATTGGAGACAGATTTTAAGCCATTGTGTCCTATTGGTGAACTAATGGAGAGCTTTTGTAGACAAACTATATAGTTGCTTAAAGGTAGAGGAAATAATAAGGAAACAGATATTTCCTGTGTTTCTATTGTGAGAGCTTACAATGAGGACCAGTGCCTTGTGGCATTTAGTGAGGCTTTACAAATGTTTATTACTGTTGTGACTTATTTTAATGATGCAAATCTTCAGCTACATCTTTGCTGAATGTTGCTGACAGCCCTGTGATAATCTCCTTTAGTCTCAAAAGCAGAGAGACCCTTCCCAGAGCTGCAGGCCATCAGCAGTTGTTCTGGCAGAGTGAACACCTGCTTTGTTTTTATAGAGCTCTGAGCCACCATGAGCCTCTACAAACAAAACTGGCAAATTCTTTTGCTAGAATTTAGCAATAAAAATCCAACATAAAACTAGTCAGCTCTACCCCCAAATTCAAGATAAGCAAACTGCAAGAGATAAATGTTTAACATCATTCTGTCTGGTATCAGTAGAATATTTGACAATTTCCAGAGAGTGTTATGGAATGCTACATTCAATTTTCCCCTGTATTTGTCAGAATCAGGAGTAAGAACCATAGCACTTAAAAAAAGGAAGCTAATTTGTATTCCCTGTCACTGACCTATTGCTGTTTATTTGATGCCAACACTTTGCAAAACACAAGAGAAGTAAGGTTAATTCAGTGATGTGAAGAAAAAGAATGTTATAATTTTCATATATTAAACAAAAAAACCCCCTACAATTTATGCTTCCTTTTTCATTTGTTCACTACTAAAGGGAATGTGTATATTTTATCTTACCATTAAAGTAACCAAGCCTCTTTTCTCCAGACACCTCAAAAAAAGATTACTTCAAGCAGCGGGAAGTTAGGAGCATTACAGGATCTGCTGCAGACAGATCCCAGCTTGCTTTGCCTGTGTTCCAGCCCCCTGGAAACCAGGTAACAGGACTCCTGCAGGAATCACCCAAAATTATTTGCTTCACTTCAGGTGTCTATCTGCAAAAATCAGGAATTTCCTAGAATGTGGAAGGGAAAAAAGAAAATATTAATATTTTTCTAGTTTTTATAAGTTTAAGCATGTTTCAAATAACTGATATTTCTCGTTAATAGTACATTCATTTTTTGCACAATGGAACTGTTTAACTTTGGTTGAACAAATCTGCAAGGACTTTTCTGTTGCTATTTTTTCTTTAAAATTCTGTCCTGTTGTGAGTGAGGGCTGTGTTCCAGAATTCATGGGTATAACCAATGACCTTTTGGGCAGGATAAATGTAGGAAAGACAGGTTTCTCTGTGGAATAGTTTTAGGATCATGGCCAGAATGAACTTCTCTGGCTCAGTGCAAACTGAGAGGGACTAGATGCTGAGTAAAGCAACTGTCTTTGTTTTGTTCCTCCTGTGCCCAAGGAAATAGACCTTTGCGTGTTCTTTGGAAAAGAAAAGGGATACATCAAAGTAATTCCCCACTTCATTCTCCATTTCTCCTAATGGGAAACAACTGTCAGGATTCCAATAACAGACCACTTACTCAGATCTAACCCAAAAGCTATATTCTTGATGTTTAATTCCACAGGAAGAGGTGTTCTGGGGATGTAAGGTGGATGGGGTAGAGATGAGAAAGAGGCTTAAGTTTGCAAAGAATGAGATTTGAGAGATTCAGGGAAATGGCTTTGTTTAAAATGCTCTGTGTCCTTACTCTGGAAAGCCTTTACATACCTGTTTAATGTTAACCAGATGTGCAGGTCTCACAGGAGAGTGCTTCTGCTGTTGTCTTGCCCTCTGTTTCTGTCCCCAGTCTGCCCTGGACTCAAGCAGAGGCAGGAAGGCACCAAGTGTCATTCCATGCTGGAGCAGCACAAAGGAGTTCTCATGGACCAAACTGTGCTTAGTGCAGATAACAACTCCAGCAAACTCCAGCTATGAGTTTTAGGAAATCTAGACTGTGTATAGAAGAGATAGAAGTTCTCAGAAGATGAAAAGTTGGCCAAATTTGGGATAATTCTTAGTAGGACAACAAAAAGCTGTGTCTGTCACAGCAAGGTATCATCCATGCCCTGTTCCCAGACTTGCTGAAAAAGCTGTGAGGATCCTGTCCATGAAGGCAAACTGTTCTTTTCTTCCACAGCCACATTTTTGGCCACAACTGAAAGAATTTAGTTGAAATTACTAAAGAAATCTCTGGAATGCGAATTGGGCCGAATGGCATTGAACCTGAGTGGCCTCAACTTGGCAACATTGTAAGAAGTTGAAAAATAAAGATTTATAATGGGATGTGGCACTGCCAGAGAATGTTCATTATGTGTTTGTGCATGTACAGACCCCCACACATCTGTATTATATACAGATGTACTACAGTGCTACTGCATCACTGAAGAGTTCTTAACCAGAAATATCCCCAACTAATTATGTATACTGACAGTAAGATTGTAAGAAGACAAGAGTTGGACATTTCAAGGATGTTAAAATTGTAGCAAAAAATGTTCAGAGAGGCTGTGAAGATAAATGGGTAGTTGCTATTTACAAATATGATGATTACATACTGTTACCATGGAAACTTGAAATGGAAAATAAAAAGTGACTTTAGCTTCATCTTAAAACTGCCCTCACTGGGAGGAGAACAATAGCTGACATTCCTCCAGCAGGAGACTAATGGCCCCTCCTGAAGAATGTACAGTATGCTTTTCTGTATTTTTAGCTGTGCAAAAACACAGAAACAGGTTTTAAACCTGCTACCAACTGAAGATAAGGCTCGGATAAGAACACATCTGTTGTTAGAATCATAGGACAGTAGGATTTATTCCTTTTCCTACATTATTTACTCAAACACTCACTGTTCAACATTTTCTCTTCTGAAACTACTTCAAGTGATTTTGAGTCCCATCTAAGTTCATGGCTTGGTAATTCTCCCCAAGTACATTTTTTCATTATCTGTGTTTCTGCTTTGGACAAGATAATGAGTGAAGGATGTGACTCATTTCCATCAAAATGAGCTTCCTGAGAATGGTAAAAGATGCAGGGAGATGACAACTGGCCCTGGACATTTTTAGGACAATTCTAAGTGTGAATCAACTGCTGGTTAATAAAATAATATATATAATAATAATTGAACAGGTTATTCCTAAATACAATTTGTACCCAGTGAGATTGCAGCAAGCACCAAGGCTGGAAGTCAGAAGACTGCAGAGATGGTACCATCTGTCTGTCTCTTGGGAATCATTCTGGTGCTGAAAAAGCCCTTCTGAGCCAGATGCTCAGAGCCAGGGAAGTGTTTGCTGACAGCCACTCCTGCTCCACCTGTTAGTGCTGTGCTGGATCTGAGTACAGCCAAGTATCTGCACACCAGTGGAGCTGGGATATTCAATGTGCCACACACAGAAATCAGTGAGTGCAAGGTCCCGTTACCAAAGGATGGAAGTTCCATTAAAGATGAGATTCAAAGAAGGGCAGCAGACCAGGAGCTGTGGGCATGTGGATGGACACTGAAACTGTAGAAGTCTTTCAAGTTCTTTGATATTACCTTTTCTTCTTTATACACTGTTCCTTTTGTTAGCTACACCAGCTTACAGGCCAGTAGTTCATTTTATATGGACACACAGAATGTAATTTACATCAGTTGCAATTCTTGCCTATTTAAGTGTTGTTCTTGCTACATGGAAACATTTGCAGAGCTGTTAAACTTGTATTTTTCTTCTTTTGGGGGAGGAACTCCTTTCCAAAATCTGTGCTATTTGACAACTGAACTCCTCTGGCTTTTTCACTTTTCACAGTGTTTTTAAAATTCTTCCAAATTATTAAAATTAACAACAGTGAGACATTGCAGTAAGACACTTTCAGATGGTAATGATTCTACACTTCTGAACTGATGGATACCTGTCTCACTCCAGTACACATTTGAAGCACTTTAACACATAAATATCCACCAAGATTAATAACCTCAGCTTGCAAGTTTCTACTCCAAATGCTTATAATGGGAGAGACAAAAGACTTGAGTAGTTACTGTAGAAAAGCAAATGATAATTATCTGCCAGACATTTCCATGATATTTTAAAGAGAAAGTGAACATTCAGTGTTCTTTGCACCTCCTCTGTGCAGTGATTTCCATTTGCTGATCAGTATATTCCACTTGGAAAGTTCAGGCAATCCACCTAAGTGCTGACACTTACATGACAGTAATAAGGCTCCACAGAGAACTGTTTTCTTCCAAAAATACTGCCAGAACTTTATTAGAATTGGGAAACATGATAGTCAGTAAAGTGACTAAACAGCTCTTCCTCATGTTCCATCTCTGTCAACCTTGTACCTAGAACTTTTTTTGGTCCCCAATGCTGGCAGGCCTGGTAGCATGCAGGGGAAATCTCTGTTCTTGTAACATTCTTGTAACCATTCCCAACAGCAGGGATCAGGTAATGGCTGGGCATTGGCCCCAGGGCAGGGATGTAAGCAAGCACAGGGAAACTGAACTTATCTTAGTCTGCTTTATACTCAATATAGAATATATTTCCCTTTTCAGTTCAAAGTCCCAAAGGCCACCAAATTAGTGGCCTCCCTCTCATTTATAATTACCAACCTAAATGCCCCCTTTATCAGGTGAACGTATTCCCACACCACATTCGGCATTGCTTCTTTCTTACTGCTGAGCAATATCCAGGGAAGTACTAGATACTGAAACTCCATTCAGTAGGGATATTTTTTATTATTTGTTCAGGCCCAGAAAACGTTGTTATGATGAAGTTAGGCTACCTTTAATGAAATAGCTCATGTTTCACAGTGCTCTACCACAGGAAAACACAGTTCTCAGCTGATGTCTTTGTTTACCATGTGCTATTTTGCATAGTGGCTGTTCAGTGAATAAGCAAAGAGGGACACTTCACTGAGACTGATCCATAAGACATTAATTATACAAAAATACTGTGTTGCATGTCTTGATATAAGCAAAGTTTAAAACTGCATTCTCTGATACTTGATGTTAAACTACCACATAGACTATTTCCAGTCTTCATGGTGCCTTGGATTTTACACTTCAACTTCTGAATTTGCTAACAGATATGTTAAACATCTCCAGCAGAAACTCTCCCTACAGCTATGGAGCTAAGTAATGTCTAGAGTACAATTCATTGTACCAAGTAAAATATGTCACATTTCAAGATAACAACAGAACATTCCTGCTTTTCCAGAGGCTTCACGCGAATAACTAATGTGTAAAATCTGCAAATGCAACAAGAAAGCTTCTGTCTCAACAAAGGTTTTTTATGTCTTTTCAAGCCTCTGGAGTACATAATGCTGTTACCAACCTTTTTATTTTCTCTTTTTCTCTTTTCTCTTTTCTCTTTTCTCTTTTCTCTTTTCCTCTCCCTTCCCTTCCCTTCCCTTCCCTTCCCTTCCCTTCCCTTCCCTTCCCTTCCCTTCCCTTCCCATCCCATCCCATCCCATCCCATCCCATCCCATCCCATCCCATCCCTTGTTTCAGCACACTTTTGCAGGAAGGTGTCATTGTGTTGGGTGTTCTCATCAAGTTTAACACTCATTGTGCCTGTCAGTAAGTGCTGCTTTCTGTGGGGGCCTTGACCTTGAATTCTTCATGACTTTTTGATGCTCGTGTTTTTTCTGGGATATCTAGACTTTGTAAACTGGTCTTGGCATGAAAGTAGTACCTGACTTCCATAAATTGAATTCTGGACTAGGTGACTCCTTGGTTGCTGTATCAGAATTGCTTTGCTAATGGGCTAATGGCACGTGTTCAACCCTGCCTGTCTGTAATAAAATTTTACTTTTCAGCATAGGTAGTTTACAGGATTTAACAGCTGCTCTCTTTCTGCAAAGTCAGCTTCCTAAAATTACAAGGTTGGATGCTGAACTTCAGATGAACTTTTTTCACTTGCTTTTCCTACCCTCAGTCTAAGAAAGTATCTAGCCACAAAAAAAAAAAAAAAAAAAAAAAAAAAAAAAAAAAAAATAATAAAAAAAAAAAATTACAAATATTAACTTCATCATATGACAATAAGACTTAAATTTCTTTTGATAGACAGAAAAATAATCAAATAAAGACAATTCTATAGCAGCACATATTGATGGAATGTGGCTTACAAATACAATTAAACTTCTGTAAATAGTTTAGTAAGAAACTTAAGGCAGTCAATCTAATGAAAATGGATACAATAAGCTATTCACAGCTCTGTCTTGCCTTGCCCTTCAGAGTCTTGCATTTGGGCACAGGGACAATGCTTGGTGTGGAATCTGTTTTACTTGATGTTTCTTAATGACTATATAAAGCTCTTCTAAACTGGATTATGTCTGGCATTCTTTCTAACATCCTTCTTCCCTCATGTAACCTGTACCTGAGAGGGGACATAGGAAAAAGCTCTGAAACATCTCTGAGAAACTTCAGTTTTGATTGAAAAGGAAAAAAAATAAAATAAACAGAACAAATTAATAACTCCAAGTATCATGAGCTCCCTGCATTTCTGCAAGTATCCATAAAATACCAGATACACCCTTTCTAAACAAGCTCTGGGTTTGTGACCTTGTGGTACAAGTCTGATCAGTTCCATGGAATTTCCCCTGCACTTTCCTCCCAGTTCAGCTGGCTGACCTCAGCGTCACAGTATTTTTTTTCTCTGCCAGTGCAGAAGCTTTCCACAGCAAAGATTAAGAGCAAAACAAACCCTTTAAAAGTGAAATCCTCATGACAGACACAGTGGCTGCAGCCCTTTGGTTCGTGCTTCAATCCAGCCCCTGTTGTGCAGCCAGCAGCTGCACTCCTGTGCCCACATCTGCAGCCCTGAGGCAGCTCCAGGCCATGGCAGGGCACAGAGTGATGCAGCTGTTGAGGGGTGCAGGGTGAAGAGAGAATGCAAATACCCTGATGTGACAGGCACCTTGCAGGACTTTAGTGAACTGGGGCCTAAAGCAGGTACAGCTTTTAAAGTGAACCAAAATACAAGACTAAATAGTCAATTATCCCCCTAAACAATAACTTTGAAAGAAGTCCAAAGCAAATATGGACAAGCTGCTGATAAGCACATATTGATAGGCTGCATGTCCTCTGGGGGTTGTATTTCCATGAGTTTTCTCTTTATAGAGGCAGTCAGGCACTTTTGAAGCCTTGCTGGCTCATAACAGCCACGTCTCACCAAAGTAACAGCTCCAGCAGTGAGAACCTTTCTCTGCACAAGCGAGTCGTGATGGGCTTTGTTCCACTGGGTCTGTTCTTCCTGGGAAACTGAGTTTTTAAAGGAACCAGTAATGTCTTCTCAGCTGCAGCAAGTATCTTCCATACCCATGCTGTTTTCATAGCACTGCATGTGACGAGTGCTGGAGGATGTAAATCAAAAGAGAATTCTCTTCAGCTGTCCCCATCCCCTTGAAAGCTCTGTTTATCCCCTGGTAAACTGAGTGCACTCAGTGTATCCTGGACATGAGAATAATTAGGCTACTGTCTCCATCCCTGCAGCGTGTGCCTCGCTCCGTGCCAGTCCTGTCAGCTGAGGCTGGCAGAGATGATTCCAGCAGTGATGTTGTTTCCTTCAGCTTCGTGGTATAAAGAGTGACACCAGGAACCAGATACTCGCTTCTTCCCTATCTGGCAGTCTTTTGATCCAAGTACAAATGGGAGTCCTATTACAACTTGGCATCATTTTTGCCTCCATTTTGTGTGAAAGCAGAGAGCTCCCAGGAGGTCAGTGAAGGTTTCTGATGAGAGCAAGTGCATGGAGGTAAACAGAAAAAATCCACTTGCAATTAATGGGGATGTCTGTGATGTATTTCTGTTACAGTTGCATTAGTTGTGGAGGGGATGTGTTTTATTCCCACACATGCTTCATGAATGAAATATAAAAGAAAACCAACAAGTTCCTGAGTAAACTGTTGGGCATGCTTTATATTTTCTCATAAGGAAAGGGATTTGCAGTAGCTCTTCTAAGCAGCTCCTTCTGTCATCATTGGCTGTTGAATTTGGAGCAGAAGGGCTGGGGGTGAGAGCACTGCTGCCACGGAGGTGAGAGCATTAATGCCATGGAGAGATTCGACTGATACAAACAGAAGGAAGATGCCAAGCACTTGGCACTCAGTTGGGTAATGGCAGCAGCCAGCCCTCAGATGGAAGTCTCCAGGAATGATTATTAGTGCACAAGTGCTGAGGAATCAACTGAACAGAAGGAAAGCACGTGAGACTCAAAGATGATTACCTACATTTAAAGGGTGATACAAGTATTAAAGCCTTCCAGCATTTTTTAATGTACCTATGCTTTTACTAGGACAAGCATTATTTAGGTTATTGGGCAGAGCTCTGTGTTACTGCAGAGCAATACAATATTCATGAGTATTACACACAGTTCTAAACCCTTCCCTCTCCCCCAAGGAAAGAGCAAACAGATCTTTACCCAAACTTTGGAGAAATGACACAGTAATGAGGGCTGGAGGTGCTGTTCAGGTTGAAGCCAAAGCTATCTTTGAGTCAGAGTGGCTGCATGAACCCCCATGTTCAGCAATCATCTTGAACCACATTTTTCAAACATTCCAAGATGCTGTGGCAAACCCTAGACCCAGCTTGTTTCTACTCAGCAGCAAGCTCCTCACATACCTACATTAGGAGAAGGATCACTTTAGGGTTTCTGTTTATTCAGTGGCACCCCTAAAAAGTGAAGTTGAAAAGAAGAACACTCCTAAAGAGCCGAAGCTGAGATGGGTAGAAGCACTCTCTGCAGAGGCCTTTCTGTCATCTAGAGAGAATCTAAAACAAGTACTCTGTCCCAGTGCCTAAATGAAGTGTCTGAAGTTTTATGGGAGGAATTGCTACCATATAAGCATTTGAAAAGTGCCTCAGAAAGTCAAAAAGCAGGATGATGCACCTCCTTGGATTATATCTAACACTCATTCCTAACTGGTTCTTTAGGCACCTAATAAATTGGCGAGTCTACACTTCCAGCTACACAAATAGGGATAGCCAGGAAATCCTATTACACATAATAACTTGGCTGGTTTCATTTAGGCTCTGTCAGCAGTGGAATTACCACATTACAGGGGCTCAGTGGCTGGCAAAGAAAAGGGCACCATGAAGAGACTCAGAAATGAAATGTTTCCAGATTAGTGATTTTCATGGATTAATTGAATTGGAAGCCAAAATGCACTCAGTGCATCTGAACTTCCACATGCTGAGTCCACTATATGTTCACAGAGGAATGCAGCATGTTTCCCTTCACCTTTAGAGCCTACCTTCCAGAAAGCTGGCCCACTTTGAATTTAAAACTTTAAAGAATGACCAGGGACCAGAAGTAATTTATTTCAGGAATTACTCACTATGCTACTGCATCAAAACCACCAATTAAAATATTCTGCAATGCAAGAATCTCAACACTGATGTAAGGGCTTTCAGGTTGTGCCATGCAGAAATTTTATTTAAATTTTATTTAGAGGTAGAATATTGTCATTTCAAAGCCCCATTAATTTAGATTCAAACACCTCACAGCTTCAGAAAAGTTAGGGCAGATGTGTAGAGTATACACTGATGTGTTTGTTGTAAATACCTGCTGTAAAATAAATGGATAACTGGACGTTCTTGTTGGCTCCAGGTCTCTGAGGAGTTGTCACATGCCAGTTGTCACAGGAGCCAATCTTTGCTGGACATGAGGGCTGGGGATGTTTTTTTCCTGCACTGGCCTAATGCTTTGATTCAGCACTGACACCTATCAATTTGAACATTCCCAGCAAAGTGCCTGAAGTAAACACCACTCATATGCTGAATTAGGACTGCTGGGTCTCAAATTATGCTAATTCTGAGGGAACATAACCTCTCTTAATACTCCTTAAACTTTTAAAGTGCTTGTTCTCCAGTAATTTTTTCTCTTACTTTCATTACAGTAACCTCAGTGTGTAAGGGACCACACAAAACACAGCAGCAAAAATTCATGTCCCACAGATCTTACATTTTTCTGAAGGTTTGTAACTTTTTAAGAGTCAAGCGACACTTGAACAAAGAATGTTTGAAATATGCCCTTCATTCTTATGTCTTTGGCTGAAATAATTTCTTTGAAGACATGGGTGTTGCTTGAATGTTATGGTGGTTGGAAACCAGACAGTGCACAATTGAAATACACCTGACAATAAAACCACAGTGAAACCACAATCCCTGAAATCACTCTATCTGCTTTTCTTGCTTGAATGGTTTTGCAAAACAGCTTTCTGCTTTGGAGCCAACTTATTAACCTGCTCAGAGTAAATAAACAGCACGTTATCTGGTGAGCTGCTCTCAGAGATGGATTGTATTAACCCTTTTTGTACAGCTCTGTTAAATAAGTTACTGCTAAATAAGTTAAATAAGGGCTGCCTCTGTCTGTATACG